TCAAAGCTAAGCAGCTGTTCAGTAGTTTCCAAGCTAATCCACTCAAAAAAGGTAGCAGGTGAAGAAACAGACATTAATGAGTTTGAAAAGTTGGATGCTGAATTGTCTACCATCATCGCTCACAAGACAAGCAAATCCGATAACATTCAAAACCAGCTTAAGGAATTGGAGTCAAGCATTCAAGATTTTGAAGATGGACTTGAGTCCTTGAGCAGGTGTCTAATCAAAACAAGAGTCTCTCTTCTCAACATCCTAAATAATTAATTACAAAATTTTGATACTCTATACTTGTACGTCAATCAAATACACTTGTATATTCCTATTGATACTAAATCAATCAGATAAATTTTTTCTCTGATATCTCAATCTTCCCTCTTATTCGAGAGCATATACTTTTACTACTAAAATGTTTTGTAGATTATACTTGATTTTCTAGTTGCTTGGAGACGAAACTAACATTCTATAATAAGCAACTTTGGATATTTCTTCTATTTCAGAAGTATAGACGGGAAAAAAAAAAAAAAAAAAAAAAGGTAACTTGGGTGAATAAGTTTAGCTAATCTTCAAATGTTTCACAAAATTTACCCCGTGAAAGCATTAGTTTTGAAATAGATCAATAATGAGACTCAATCATTAGTTTATGTCAATTTTAAGTATATATTAGAGCTATCAACATTCCATGTAATGCCCACATGGAGGTACGTAATTTAATTTATGCTCTTATACCTTTAGTTGATTTTTGCTAAAGTTATTTTGAGAAATTGTGAAGAAAATGCCTTAAACTTGCATTAAGGGTAAAATGGACTTTTCACTCAAAATTAGTTGAAATTGTGGGGAGTGAAAAGAGATAGAATTTCATGGAGAATGCAATAAAAATGAGGGCATTATGGTAATTGACTAAGGAACATAGATGGAATTTTGAAGAAAGTGCAAGGGCAAAATAGGAAACTAATAAATAATTTTATGTTATATCAAGGATTGAAGAGTGAAACCCCAGCCACTCTTCAACCCATTTTCACGCCACCTTCTCCAAATCCTCTCAATTTCTTCACTTCTTTTTCCAAATAAATTCATAGATTTTGGGCATTTTTTAGTGGATTTTCAATCCCAATCAACTTTAGGTAAGATCCTTGCACTAAGAAGTGATTTTTCATTTTTAAAGTGTTGAATTTTGATGGTATGTGCTCATGGGATTTAAGAGGAAGAGAGTTTGATCAAAGAAGATTCTTAAAGGGTTCGATTGCTCATATCAAAGGTAAGTAAATCGTACCCTAAGTATGATTTAAGTTATGTTGTGTAGAGAATTTTCTTTATGCATATATATGTGTTGTGTGTAGAATTGTTGATGGATTTGGTGTTGAATGATGATTAGAACTTATCCATGAGAAGTTGTGTTGGTATATTTGATACTTGATGAATGTTTGGATGAAATTTGGAAGAATTGAAGTGGAAATTTTGGAGTGTGTGTTTTGGGCAGATTTGGCGTTAATTATGGAGGATGTTATTCAAAACTTTTGGTGGCGTAGTGATAATCCGTGAATTATACGGTTTTCATTAGACTTTTTTGTCGGATTTCAGGTACTTTCTAGTGCATTTTGACCTGAATTGTTGCTTAATTCTTTACTTTTCGTGTTTCAGGTTAAAATGGACATTTTGAGAAAATAAGGACAAAATTGGATATTTTTGACTCAGAAATTAGCAGATCTCAGAAGATAGGAGAGTTCCAGAGCAGGATAAAGCACGATGAAGCTTGTTCCCAAGGGAGAGCACCGAGAATCGAAGAATTAAACGAAGAAGCAAGCTAAGTGGCAGTTCTGTAATTTCAGAACTTTTCAAGAAGCTTCGCCCCGGCGAAGGAATTGTCTTCACCGCAGCGAAGTAAGCCAGGGACGAACGTGTCTGTTTCACTCTTCGCCGCGGCGAAGGATTCTTCTTCGCCGCGGCGATAGTCATTAGTTTCAGTTTTGTTAAACGCACAGTTTCGTTTTGTGCGTGTTTTGGCTGGGTTATTTGGACTAAGTATAAAAGAAAAACTTAACCTTTTGCCCGGGGGTCTTCATCTTTTTAGGGTTAGCTACTTTTGCATTTTTCTTAGTAAAACTTTGAGCGATTTGGTTTGTTAAAGGGAGAAGATTTGATTCTGACTAGAGGATTCATCTTTTGGGGAGATTTCTTATCTTTTATCTCAGTTTCATTACGCTGAACTTGATTATTGCTATGTTTCGTTTTTGTATTTTTGATTTAGCTATGAACTAATCTATTTTTGGGTTAGGGTTTTGATGGTAGTTTGGATTTTAAATGGGTTAAGTGTTTGATTGTGTTATTTTCATATGAGTATGCTTTGTTGTGTGTTACTCTGATTTTTAATGCTGTATGTGATGAACCTGATGAGATTGAGAAATGAATCATGTTAGGCTTCTTGGGTAATCACCATTATAGTATTGGATGCTAGAGATGGATTCAAGAATTAATGAAATCATATTAGGATTCTTTTGCTTAATGAGTTTGGAATTATTAATCTTCAAATTGTTGGGTGCGGAAGGTTAATAAGGATGAATAGGAAAACATAGCCCGAGAGGGTATGTTTAACACATTAGTGAGTTCGATTTACAACCATTGCGCATGAATGTGAATGTAGTGTAATTTTTAGGTTTAACCCATAAAAATCCAAATGAAGTCAAAACCCTACCCGTTTTGCTTGAATTGAGTATCCGTGTTTTAATATTGCTTTCGTAATTAAGTTTTAATTCTTAGATTAAAATTCATTGTTGTTTTTAATTAGAATTTGCTCCCACCAATCCAAAGAATTCAATTGTTTCAACGGGATAACATTAGGAAACTCAGTGCTTTGCTAACAATCCTCGTGGGAACGATACTCTACTCATCATTTTATTACTTGAGCGATTAGTGCACTTGTTATTTTTGCATGTTGTAAGAAACACGCATCACGTAGAAGAGAGATAGAAGTGTAGCCACATTAGTGTTGATTTGTGCACATGAATTGTTTGATGAAATGTCAAAGAGAAGTGCATGTATGAGTATGATTATTTGTTACTTTGGGATGAGTTTGTAGATGGTAGAGAATTACATGTTTGTATTCCATAATGCATAATTACATCTAAACCTGTGAATTTAGAAAGAATTATAAGCATGAAACCATCTACATGCATACATATTCATAAGAGCATGAAAAACCACTAAATTATGTTAAAAAGAAAATAGAAAGAAATGAGAATATTAAAGATATTCAAATCTGAATTTTTATTTAAAGAAGTGTAAAAAGATAAAAAGAAAAGAAGGTTGTTGCAATGGGGAGCCCGTGAGTGACATAGCCCCACATGCACGCCGCCTTTAGTGAACGGCCTCAGAATTCAGAAAAAGAATTGTACAGTCCTTTAGAAGTGCGTGTGGATAGGACTATACCCAGAATTAGAGAATTCACTCACATGGCCAAGGTTCCAAATCCATGCCTCAATCAAGTCCGATCGTCAAGAAAATAAAGAAAGAATAGAAAAGAAAAGAAATAAAGAAATAAAGAAAAAGAAACAGAATAAGAATAAGAAAAATAGAAAAGAAAATGCATAATCTATGCATTTGTGCATTTGCATCATGAATATACATAAGACCATGCTCATTATCATGAGTAGTGAAAAATTAGAAAATGGAGAGAAAAACAGAGAAAGAATGAGAAAGAATAGAGAAAGAACAGAGAGAAGAACAGAGAAAGAATAGAGAATAATCGGGAAGTGTGATGTAAGAAAAGAAAATTCAGAACTTAAGCAACGGAGAGACAAGGGTAGCATAGTGGGTTTACTTACTAAGCAATTAGTGCTCACTCCGTTGTTTTTAATGTTTTTCCAAGTAATAGGTGAGTTGCGGTTGCTTGGAACATCACGTAGTGGAAGGGTTGGGCTACACTGTCAAGTTGCTATTTTGAGTATATTTTGTAAATATTTGTATATAAAGAAAAAATTAAATATGGGCCCATACTTTATTATTCATTTATATGTGTATTTTCATATATATCTTTTAATGAATTTTATTGATTATTTTATGAGTATACTAGCTGGAAAGAAATTATTACATTCCAGTTGTCTCCAAATATATTGAAAACCATCAATTAATGAAATTCACATGCATGGTAGATTCAATTCTTACACGTTTTAATCAATGAAAAATGAGCTGGCTGTCCTGGTGTTAGAGTACACTATGCAATATGTAATAACTAATATTTCTAACATAAAGGAAAGCAATTAATCAGCATAGGACCTCAAATTTTTGATTAAATATTTGCAATTCTTATGTCAACCGCCCTTGTGTGTTGAAATTATAGTAGTTCTAGTATCAAATTGGTTATTTTTACAGACTTTGTCTCCTGATTACATGAACCGATAAATGTAAATAAGTATGCACGAGGACACAATTATCATGTTTTATATAAGAAGGCAAGCCAATCTGGATTGCTATCCCATGTACTGCTGCAGAGGAGACTAAGTCAATGTAATGCATAACCTCTTAATCAGAAAGAAAAAAAATTATGAATTGTTAGCAACGTGAAGATACTAGTATGATTTTGAAGCTAAAGAAAAAGAGTTGGGTAGCAAGTGGGAGACATTGCATAAATGTAGCTGATATAATGTTTAGATCCAAGTCAACATCACATTCCTAATTAAATAAGAGAAGAGATTCCTCTTGTCTCCCTTATCTCATAATTTATATTGAGCATATGGCAACAGAAGGAAAGGAAAATTAACATTACATTGATTAAAGAGATTCAGCTCCAAAGAGTTACAGAAGACCCAAAAAGCTACATTAGAAATTTAAACTTTGCCGCCAACCTTGCAGCATCAGATTTCAAAAGTTGACATCCTATATGTAGTTTCGAGCATAATATCAGCTTGATCAACAATAATATATATTGAGCATATGGCAACAAAAGGAAAGGAAATTTGAACCAAACAATTGATTTCCAGGCCTTCTCATTTCCAAAGGAAATAAAAATGGCCCATTCTTACCATACTCGCTCTAACAGTTTCCCTTCTAGACCACACCCTCTCACTTCAGAAGTTGATCAGCATTTGAGAAGATTAAGAGCTTCTCAATCTACTTCTACATCATCATCATCAATCAGCCATCAGATAAATGGTCTTCAAGATTTGCATGATTGTGTCGATAAGTTGCCACAGCTGTCCCACGTTCAGCAAAAGGATTTGGTTGATGAGTTGTTGAATGGATCTCTAAGACTCTTGGATATCTGTGGCATTGCTAGGGATTCCTTGTTACAAACCAAAGAGGCTATATAGGAACTTCAATCAATTTTCCGCAGAAGGAAGGGCGATGATATTGAACTTACAAGTGCGGTTAAGGAATACCTAACCTCCAGGAAGGCAGTGAAAAAGACAATCCAGAAGGCTTTGAAGAATTTGCAAGTCATAAAAAACCAAAGCTCCTCCCCAATCAACGAGGAACACGAGACGAAGGCCACAACTAGCATTTTAAATGAGGTTTAAGCAATCACATTCAATGTGATTGAATCTTTGCTGTCCCTTATCTCAGGGCCAAGGAAGCTAAGCAGCTGGTCAGTAGTTTCAAAGCTAATGCACCCAAAAAAGGTAGCATCTGAAGAAATAAACACAAATGAATTTGAAGAGATGGATGCTAAATTATCTATCCTCAACGGTCACAAGACAAGCAAATCTGAAAACATCCAGAACCAGTTTAAAGAAACAGAGTCAAACGTTCAACTTCTTGAAGATTGACTCGAGTCCTTGAGTAGGCGTTTGATCAAAACTAGAGTCTCTCTTCTCAACATCCTCAACAATTGGATTACAAAATTTTGATACTCTATACTTGTACATCAATCAAAGATACTTGTATATTCTATTGATATTGCATCAATTATACACACAAACAACTTTTTTCCCCTATATCCTATCTTCCTTTCCCAACCACCACCCCCAAAGATAATTTACTTTTGCAGGTAAAATTGATTAGTTGATTATACTTGGCTATCTATTTCCTTTTGTTGAAACTAGCATTCTACCAATAACAGTTGACTTTTTTTTTTTCAATGTTTATCTCATGAATGAATGAACTCGATTACTTAAATGATACAACCTATGAAGAATTAAGTAAAAGAAAAAAAAAGAGTAAATAAAAAATTTAATAGGGTGATTACTTTGCTTTAAAACATTTTTAGTTTTAACCCATGAAAGCCATAGGTTTCAAAATAGATCAATACTGACTCAAGTTATGATGTTTTGCTGGAAGTGCATTGTGCAGGGACCGAAGTTTGAAGATTGTTTTTGCCACAAATAAAGTGTTGTGCATGGTGCTGTGCTAGGAGCAATAGCCTAGGAGAAACTTGTTAACCTTTTGTGTTAGGATATGTTTAGGTGAATCCAGGTGAATATGAGGCTTTATGTCTCTTAATTGTATTATGGTTGTTCAAATTGTGTGGTTTACCTTTGATCATGTACAAAGCTTACTGCTGTAGTGGTTGTAATAGTAAGCTGATAAAATGTTATATTATGTATTTGGTTGGTTAATGAATCAGGGTAGTTTTGAACTCTTCAGTTTTCCTTTTCTTTGAATAATCCGACACTCCAAAACCAACAAAATGCTATCAGAGCTAGCTTACCAGACCTCCATATAAACTCAAAAACTAACCTTGAATCATTATCAAAACTCCAGCCTCCTTAAAGAACAACTCTGTCACTAACTATAATCTGTACCCATGGCAACTTAGTCTGCTTTCCTTTCACCGCCAGTTTTCAATGGTGACCAATACTATATTTGGGCTGTTAGAATGAAAGCCTATCTAAGAGGGCAGGGGCTCTGGCAGTATGTTGAGGAAGAGAAACAACCACCACAGCTTGGTCCAAACCCCACTCTGAATCAGATGAGGTTGTATGAAGAAGAAATGTCAAAGGCTCCAAGGGCCCTATCTCATATACATTTGGCTGTGACAGACCTTGTGTTTACAAGGATAATGGCGTGTGAAATAGCAAAAGAATCTTGGGATAGACTGAGAGAGGAGTTCATGGGAAGTGATACAACAAGGAACATGCAAGTGATGAACTTGCGGAGAGAATTTCAAATGTTGAGAATGCAGGAAGTGGAGAAAGTGAAAGAATATGTGGATCTAATGACTGTGGTTAATAAGATCAGGCTATTGGGAGTAGAAATGAGTGATACGATGATTGTTGAAAAGGTACTAGTGAGCTTACCCGAGAGGTTTGAATCCAAGATTTCCTCCCTGGAAGATTCAAAGGATCTATCACAAATTAGCCTCATTGAATTAGTCCATGCACTGTAGGCTCAAGAACAAAGAAGGTTAATGAGGCAGGAGGACACTAATGAAGGTGCTATGATGGCTGCTCTAAAAGGAAAGAATGTGCTAGGGAATAACAGAAGGTATGCCGTGTTAGGAAACGATCCACTTACGCAGCAGAAAACAAAAATTTATACAACCATAGATCGTTCCTTAAAGCCCAAAATCAAGGCACAAATTTTACAGTTTATGTATTACATCAAGAATCTGCAGAAAAAATAAATCTAAGGTTTAGATTCATACCCACGTTGGAGGCTCCACCAAATATTAAATCTGAATGTGTTTGCTACTGATCCAAGTGTAGGATCGAACCAAGAAGTCCACACGAAGACAATCACCAAGAACCAAGGAGGGATTTGCTAGATCCTCCTTGGCCTTAAGAAATCAAGAAGAAAAAGAAATATTTGATTTTTCAATCAAACAGTGAAAGTGGCATGGGAGAGTATGTATAGGCTGCTGTGTGTTTTCTTCTTTAATTAAAAATGAACTAATAAAAATCCCTCTTTAATTTCACACACACATTCTCTTTTATAGGCAAACTAAGTTGCCATTTTCCCACATGGAATGGGCTTGGGCTCCAACCCAAACACCCCATGTTACCAAACACTCCCAATTAGATATTTTAATTTATTTCATCATTATCTCAATTAAAAAAAAATTAATATTTAATTAACATTTAACAATAATGATGATTTGATTAAATATGTGCGAACACACATTTAAACGTAATTTCACTTATTTAATTTTTCTAACAAATTAAATAAAGGCTACAACCTTAGCAAATTTAATTGCACTGTGAAATTACCAAAATACCCTTTCGCCCAAAAAGACGAAAACGCTCTTCTTTCTTCTTGGCTCTTAAATTATCTTCTATGTGTGTGACCCATAGGCTCCTCATCATACCGGCAGTGTATAGTATCGCGATTAACACCAATTAATCGTCTCACTAATACACAGACCAAGATTGGCCCCTAGCAAGGCATCATGGCCACCCGATAGATTCGGATTCAGCAAAGTAGCTACCTGTCAACGATATGGTTACCGTACAATTCGATCCTTTCATCATACGTTATCTCGACGAGACGAAGGCATAGAAATAGTGTCAACCTTCGGTTACTCTCGATATTATATATTCAGTTTCTGGACCAATGACCTGTATTATAATCCGGATAGAGCAACAACTCAATCCCACTGTAGCCACAGTTTTGGATTCATTGTCATATACTGAATTGCGCCATGAGATAACTTCTCTCGTACCCGGGAGTGATGAATCCTTTGTCAATCCACCATAATCTTGATACACTCCTTGATGCAGCCAATCACCACCATATTGACAGCTCTGAATAGAATTTCGTTAGGCTAGTGTCAAACTGTACCAATCGGTGCACAAGGCGCTCCGGAGATCTCAAGTCTAAGGATCACATGCACCACCATTCGTTAGAGGATTTGTTCCATAGACATTGGGGTTACCATCCATATGGAATCCTCTGGTGGGTCAGTCCAGTAAACTTACTGTGGTATATCCGCCTACAATAAGCACCCATGCGTTACACCAGGTTGTCACCAAACAACCTTGACAAGTGAGATCAGTCACTGCCTTTCGAAAGGGTCGTTCAACACTATGATAGCCTTACCGTATTATCTATGCCCTTACTTCAGAATAATACTGGGGCTACAGACGTTTCTAGAATGGCCACCATATGTGCTCATATGGTTCTCACTATCAAGATTTGAAACACTTGATACCCTCGTCACGGTTCTACCATTCTAAGGACATATATCAATACATATTGCAATAATAATGATTTACGCGATATAGAATAAAATGCCTTTTATTATTGATTAATGAACATTATTACACAGAGTCAATTCTACAATAATTGATTGGCTCTAGGGAATCTACTCTAACATGCTGGAGACAAGAAAGGAAAAGAGAAAACCAGTGGACAGTGGGGAAAACCAAGTGGAACAAGGAGCTTTCCACCATGCCCTCATTGCAAAAAGTAGGGTCACTCAAAGAACAGGTGCTGGTTTTGGCATGGGATCCAATGTAGAGGCTACAAACAGTTTGGGCACATTGAGAAGGTGTGCAAGAACAAAGTTGCACAATCATCATAGAAAGCTCAATCTGCAAATGATCAAAGTAGGGCTGTGAGTCTGTGCAACTGTTTGCAGCTTCATGCTACACAACTCAGACCAACAGTGATGTATGGCTGATAGACAGTGGTTGCACCAACACATGGCAGCCAACTTGCAAAATTTGTTCAGGCTGGACACGACCTATAGCTCCAAAGTCAAGATTGGAAATGGAAAATATGTGGAAGCCAAAGGAATTGGAGATGTTGTTGTCCTAACACAATCAGGTACCAAAGTTATCTCAAGTGTCTTATATGTACCAGAAATTACACAAAATCTATTAAGTGTAGGACAAATGTTGGAAAAGAATTATACATTGCACTTTCAAAACCAATCATGAATTATATTAGACAGTGAGGGAAATGAACTGATGAATGTTAAAATGTTGGGGAAAAGCTTCCTGGTAGAGCGGAAAAAGTCAAAAAACTTTGCACTGACCAGTAGGTCAGAAGAGTCTGAACTTTGGCATAAAAGGTTTGGCCACTTCTACTATGTAGGTCTCAAAGAACCTAGGACTAGAGATATGGTGCTGGACTTACCTGAAATAGAAGAGAAAACGAATCTTTGCACAACCTGCCAACTTGGCAAACTCAGTAGACCATCTTTTCAATCAGATCAGGCATGGAGAGCCAGTGACAAATTGTAGTTGATCCATACAGATGTGTGTGGTCCTATGAAGACTGATCACTAAATGGAAGTAGGTACTTTGTACTCTTTATTTATGATTACTCTAGGATGGCTTGGGTATATTTCTTGAAGCAGAAAAATAAGGTAGCTGTTGTATTTAGAAAGTTCAAGCTACTGATGGAGAACCAAACCAAGACAATGATCAAG